TTTAATATTTCGCAGCTGAAACCCGTAACAGAAAGTTCAGAATGCCACTTTTTGAGTAAATCAACCTCAGCTAACATGGATTTTGTTTTCCCCTGTAGCTTTCCTCATAAGATTTCCTTTACGTGAAACCTCACTGTATGATTATCATCGTCGAGTTTCTCACTAAAATGTGAGCTAGACGAACTGCCACGGTCTGAGTTACCACTTTCACCCGAACTCGCATCGTCGTCTGCTAGAGCGAAATCTAATGTTCGGCAGAAAACTCCATACGGTAATTTCTTTTAGACAACTTACATGACTAAAGCGCCTCGAAAACAAATGGACAATCACTGCGAAAGGAGCAAAAAAAAAAACAACGACAAAGCTGGTAAAACAGCTTCACCACGAAGCTTCACCGCGAGGGATAATTCTGGACTCGACCGCTCGAAGTCAATCAAGTTGTTTATTAACAAGCAATAAGTTAGAAACCAGGGTCTCTCGGCTGTAAATACAGGCTTCTGGACCGAATTAAACAGGAATATGGGAGTAGGAAAAAAGACGAGACTTGCCACTTCGGCCCCCATGTTTTTTTTGTTTTTTTTTCGAAGGTATATGCGGACGTCAGTGAAAACAATATGCTTTCGGGAATTTGAGCTCGCCTGGGGTGAAGACTGTTCTAAAAATAAGAAGATACGCGCAAAGGTTGACTCAAGGATATATGGGAGATGGAGGCTCCTGGTGATGGGCTCCTGACAATTGTGACTATTTTGATGTCACGGTCCTCAAAATGTCTTTGTACCACTGCATTTATTGCGTTAAAAACTCAAACGGAAACATTACCAGCATGTTTGGCAATCGCAGCACCAGCACCAACTGGTCTAAAGTCTTGTAAAACAAAATAATTCAAACTTACAGATCCCATAGTTCTGTGAGGTTGAAAAATATTTCAGCGGAAAGATGTGTCAAGTTGCTCGACGAAATTTCACTGAAAACAAAGAGCGCCTTCTAAAAAAATCTAGAAATAGCATTTACTCTACTTCAGCGTCAAACTATTAGGCCTGATGGCGAAGTTTGCGTTTCGCCTGTGACTTAAAACAAATAATAATAGTTATAGGGCGAGATAGTAGCACAAGAGCAGAATTTGCCTGCCATGATTTCGAAGTTATTTAATAAAGTGAATTATTTGATTTTGATCGTTTTCTGTATTACAGAAAAAAAAAAGAATTTTGGACGTCATAATATACACGTGAAAACAAAACCATGCGCTTTTTATAAAGAGGAAACCTCCGCTTGTTGCCCATTCCCAAAAAAGCCAGCGGGTCAAGAAAGACAAAACAAGGGCAAAAATTCCTCACGAGGTATACCTACATGCTTGTAGTTGTCGTAGGCACGCATGTAGCAATATCTTCGAGTGATGTTATATTACGGCATGTTAGGATGCCCCACGTAACCGAACATTTAACATCACAATCTAAACGTGAAAAAATTGAGGTAACATTAGTTTGGGATGAGCATAGTAAATTTTACCACAAAAAAAAAACCAAAGAAAAACAAAATGATAGGAGGCTAGGGTAATTTTTGTTGTTGTTGTTGTTATTATTATTATTATTATTATTATCATTGCTAATGTCATTGTCATTGTTATTGCTGTTGAGAGTAGATATCAGACAAACGATATCTTGCCCTGTCACTGTAATAGCTGTAACGCTGTCCCTTTTTTTTAAATTTTATTTTGCAATACACTTAAATTACTTCCAATACAACATGGACATTACTTACAAGCTATAGTTACATATAATACAATATAAACACTACCTATAATGGTACAGCTACTAACAAATATTAATATATAGATTTAGGCCAGCCTAAAAGCGTAGCTCCTGGGCCGGGTTGTTCAAAGCCCGATTAGGCT